AAAAAGATGTATTCCTCCAAATTGGGATGTCAGCGGAAAAAAATCTTGGAGATACTTGACATTCCACTCCCCATTCAGCATCATATGGGCCATGCTCGATGACCTCGCTTTCTTCGGTACATATACAACAACTTTAGCCAAATTTTTAGCCATTCTGGAGGCATCTATCTTACCATAATAGGGCTTGCCAGCCACTCATAATGTTCTACCTAGTGGCTTCAGGAGCAAGTGTTTACTCGATGATGCCTTTCTAGAGATTTGAAATGCAACCACTCATTCTCGACCGCAACTCCAAATCTGTTTCCACCATATATCTTGCTTTTATTACCTGAACCCAAAAGCTATTAATTTTTGTCAATAAGAGCCAAGAAATTTTTAGCATGTATGCCTCATTCATCCGTGTGGCATTACACAACCCCAACTCTCCTTTTTCTTTAGCGTGGCAAATCGTGTAGCAATAAAAAAGTGAACCTTCCTCCCCGCCTCTAAGCTGCTCCAAACAAACGCTACGATCTTTTGCCAATGTACTCACATACACTAGCCGATATAAAGTTTTTTGCATGGTATATATTGGCAGCAATGAGAAGACTAATTAAGCAAGAGTGGTCCTTGTTGCAGACGACATAGTAGCTACCTTCCAGCTAGCCAACTGTGAGTCATCTTGTCAACGATAGTAGTATAGGTGATCTTAGACAATCAGTCGTAAACAACCTGAACTCCCAAATATACTCCTAGATTCTTGGTCTCCTGGATACCGATGGTTGAGCTAATGGTTGCCCCCTACTACTGACACATTCTTGGAGAAGTATATTCTTGATTCGAGCTAGCTTACTTGTTGACTAGACGTTGTGAGACATAAATTAAACATTATTTGCACAAGAAATTCCTCAAATTATCATATTTTTATATTATAAAAGTCAATAAAAATAACTAGTTGCATATTGATTGGTAGTCAAGAATTTGATTGGTCGAAATTACCACTATTTTCAAGCAGGAAAGCAAAATCCTCCCAAAAAATGTCGGGTCTAGTAGTTCCTTATAGGTTGTTTGGATGCAACGTTTTGGTTCTATAACATTTCGAATTAACATGATGCATTATTTTGGTATGCGACATTTCATGTGGTATTTCAGTTTGGATGTGGTAATTGGGTTTAATTATCTTGTTTGGATAAAAACATTCAAATGTTTTGGTATTTCACCATTTAAAGAATGGATGGAGTGATAAAAAAAGGTTGAGAGATATTTTAATAACTCATAATGAGTTATTTCAATTGTCTCATGGACAAAATACCACATCTAATTTTATTTTTGCCAAATGAGTTAATAATTTAAAATAAGTTATTTCGGCCAAAATAACTCATCAATTACTTCATCAAACGAATTAGATTGTAAAATCAAGGGTTAATACCCTAGTTTGGCCCGAAGTTTAGCGTAGTGACAGTTCTGACCTCATTTTTCAAATAAGACATTTATGATATACTTTCAAAATTATTGGACAAATTTAACCCAACATTTGGGTTGACCGTTAAACCTGATAGTCAAACATTTTCACTGTTAATGACTCAGTAAAAACTGCTGATATGGCAATGACATGGCTGCCACGTATTTTCACAAAGATTAAAAATAAAAATCATGAAAATGAAATAAAAGACAAAAATTTGAAGAGTGAATGTAGTCTTCTCCACTGCCAGTATTGCACCAAACCCAAACACCCACCAATCGGAACCTCCAAACTCAGTAACCCCTCCCACCGGGAGCGGATAGCGTGACAACCCTTAAGGGGTTGTCAATCTGGCTTCCCTCCTTGTTGTCGTCCGTTTCCCTTCTTCATCCAACAGCCAGGATTACAGGAAGGGCTTTTTAGTAAGCACCTAATTCTAATAATTTAAATTGAAACTTAAATACATGGAGAGAATCTAGGAACGTGATTGGGGGACGTGATTTGGGGAGCGGAAGACACAGTGTGGACTGGGACTCTTTCCCTTCCAATTCTAGCTTCTCCCTCAGCAAACCAGACCCTTCATCTAGCTACGGAAAATACTAGCGACACGACGACCTCCATAGTCATGTACGACTACATGAGCAACGACGACGACAGTGAGTGGGGGGAGCCGAACCTACGTGTATATTTGGATTCGAACTGAACGTCCCACTGACAATCAACGACGAGGATATATACGACTGTGTAGCTGAGCAGACGAACCCAACGGAGAATGGCGATGATGTGTGCATGGTGGATGTTGACAGAGAACGGCGTTGATGTCGACGACGGCGTGGATGACAACAATGGCGGTAGGGTTTACTTGTGGCGTTACGACTTCTGTTGCAGTTGTACCATTTTACTACTGGTACAAATATTGTTTTGTGAAAATGTACTAGTACTTATGATTCAAGTTAGTTAGTGGTAGTATTATTGTAGTGGTAGGCTCCTAATGGTAGTCATCTATTGGTACATTTTTAGTGGTAGTAACGTAGTCATCTAGTGGTACTCCCTTAGTGGTAGTCATTTAGTAGTAGTTAGTGGTACTTCCCTAGTGGTACAGGGATACTGGTGGGAGGTTGAATTGTTCAATTTGCTAATGCATCTGTTCTTTAAATATAGGTTTGTTGTCATCCATCGTCTCATCCGATAGTTCAACGTGGAATCACTGCCGCAATTGTTCGATTTGCTAATTTTTCTGTTTTGGTATTAGACTGAGTAATAGTTACTAGTAGCATTATTTTGGTACCAATCAAATGTTACTGGTACCAAAATCATGGTACTATTGACCAAAATAATGTTACTTAGAGCTCATAATGCAAATAAACCTTCACTGGTTGAACTAGTAGAATTAATTTCGATAACAGCTTACTATTGTGAATTAGAAATGGATACTAGTACCAATGATTGAGAATCGATCTTACTAATGCTACCAGTAGCACTGTTTTGGTGCCGGTCTTACTAATGCCACCAGTGTCATGATTTTGATACCAGTAACATTGCTTTGGTACAAGTATCATTATTTTGGTACCAGTAACTTTTAATTGGTACCAGTGACATTGCTTTGGTAGCAGTACAACTAAAAAGGTACCAATGAAGGTTTATCTCTAAAACCAGAAGTGCCCAAAGTATGTAGTTAAAATAACTAGGGAGAAGTTACTGAATTTTCACAATCAACATGAAACCAATTGTGTCAATGTAAGAAACATTACTTTGTCCAATATCAAATTAAAGACAACAAACCCCCAAAAAACTAGTAAAAGTGAGTTGCCCCCATCCTCCATTGTTATCAACATTGTCAATAGTAAAGGTAAGCTGCCCTCATGCTCCATAGTTATCGACTTTGTCTCCTCATCGAATAGTCTGGTAATCCAACACAACAATGTGATGTCAAACCATTTCATCTTCAAATCGAGCACACAACCTAGCCCGAGCTTTGTGATAAACGCCTTCCTCTCATTTGAAGTGTCAGCCTCCCCAATCTCGATGATTGAAGTCGGACTGCACTTCTTCTCCAAGGAGATTGGATTTGGCTGTACAGTCTGTTGCTTCTTCTTCTTGATGAGACTTTTTGGTACCTCATCACATGGCCGTTTGCTACTAGGCCCAACACCAGATCACCAGAGTCCCCCAAGCGGACTGCTACCTGCTGAGAAACATAACCAGCAATGTCGAATGTTACTGATACAATACTACCACTACCACTAACAAGAAACAATGTTACTGGTACCAAACAAAGCTATGGGTACCAGTCCCATAACTACCACTGGTATGATTCTTAAGTACTACTAGCAATGTAGAATGTTACTGATATAATAATACTACTAACAATCAAGAATGTTACTGGTATCAGTCAAAGTTGTGGGTACCAGTACCACAACTACCACACCACTGTTACGATTCTTAACTACTACTAGCAATGTAGAAAGGTACTGGTAAAATACTACTACTATCAAGCAAGAATGTTATTGGTACTAATCAAAGTTGTTGGTACCAGTACCAAAACTACCACTACCACTGGTACGATTCTTAAGACTACCAGTGGATCATATCAACACCAAACAATCACGTCAAACAGAAAAACACAGGCCTGCATGTGGCTTATTCCAACGTAGCAGCCGGAAAAACCAGTAATGTAAAGAAACCTCACCGCTGATTGTCTTCACGGGCGCAGAAAGGAACGACGGCGGAAGGAAGTTTGCCTACGCACTTAACAAGAAAGAGATCAAAAACTAGGTTAGCAAACTAGAATTTAATATCAAAAGACGAAGTGGGGAGGAGCGAAAGTGCCGGCGAATCGGGCCGGAAAAGCAATCAATGGAGGCGAATCGGGCCTGAACTACCTCTGCCCCAAACAACAAAGTCTTCGCACTCAAGACCAGCCACCAAAAAACGATCGGAGACGGTGGAAGGGAGTCTTTGGGAGAAGATGGAGGAAAAAGGTTTTTGGGGGCGCACCAATCGGAGACGGTGGAAGGGGATTTTTGGGAGAAGACGAAGGAAATGATTTTTGAGAGAAGGCGGAGGGACGAAAGGTTCGGCAGGGAGGGTGGCTAATTTCTCTCCCCCGATTTCTTTGCCTTTTCAAAAAACAGGCTTACGTCAGTGAACTAGGGGATCTCAATCCAGTGTGAAACCTCTCTTTTTTGCCCCTGCCCATCTTCACCTGTTGGATGGAGGACTAGAAGGACGGATGACAACGAGGGGGGAAGCGAATTGACAACCCCCTTAGGGGTTGTCACGGTAGCCGGCCCCCCTCCCACCGATAGAACATAATTTTGTTACCATTAAGGAAGCTCTTCAAGCAAAGATCTAAGTAATAATTTCACTGATGATTGATTAATCCTCCCAAACTCATAACCCTAAATTTGAACAGCGGGGAGCCAGCATGGGAGCTTTGTGCGGTCAGCGGTGTAGTGTAGGAGGCAATATTCGATGCTAACTTCCCTAGTCGTTTGGCGGCTGTGCTCTGCAAGGGGAAATCCGCAAGGGAACTCTTTGGAGGTTTCGATCTGGTGGTATGGAGGGAGGGCGACGCACGCCAATGACTCTTCAGCTGCTCCGGGAGCTGTCGACTGAGTCGCCGCAATTGATTTTCCTTTCTTCTAATCGAAAACAGAAGGGAAAAGAGAAGGGCCAGAAGCTGAGGAGGAAGAATGGAGATTTCCGTTTTGGTGAGGGGAAACAAAGAAGATGGATCAAGAAGGCAGAAGGTGAGGAGGAAGAAGGTGGATTCATTGGAGAGAGGCGGGAGGAGTCAGGACATTGAATTAGGGATTTCATCCCTCTGCCTTCATCGTCTCTAGTAAGGGATGGAGTTGAATGAGATGGCAAGATAGAAGGGATGGAGGTGAATTAGGAATTTCATCCCTCTGCCTTTATCATTTATTTATTTTTTATTTTCATGTTTTATTTATTAACATAAATAATTTAATGAAATTTTTTAACATAAATAAATTATGTGGAAATGATGTGGACGGCACATCGTTGCCACCTCAACACTAAATCCTGAGTCACTGACGGAATCAATATTTGACCGTCAGTTTTAACGGTCAACCCAAATGTCGGGCCAAATTTGTTCAATAATTTTGAAAGTAGGCCATAAATGTCTTATTTGAAAAATGGAGCCATAACTGTCACTAATGCTAAACTTTGGGCCAAACTAGGGTATTAACCCTAAAATCAATGGTTATCGGGAAAAATAGTTGACCATCACTAGTCATATCGCTGATTTCTTTATGTGCTACCATTACAGTGGAGGATTCTTACCCAATTTGTGGTGCGGACGAGGGAGAATCGCTCGAACATTTGTTTTTGCAGGGCCGGGTTGATATTTCTCTTAGCCAGCGATGCGACCTTACGTTCCCATCAAATTATTCACCCAATTTTCATTTTTCGCTCTTATGGAATTGTTTGATGCTCTACATGTCGACTGATGTGGTATTTCAATGGGTTCTTTTATGTTGGTGCATTTGGAAGGAGTGCAATAATGTGGTGTTTCTACCACACGCACAATTTACCATTCTAGTTCTGAACCGTCATTTCCTCTGCACCATACCGCTCATCAACTAGCCATCCTTCCATCACTGCAGCCTCCTCCTGGACTTGTGCCTCGCATTGCTACTTCTGCTCTAGTTCACGGGTTCCGTATTGCTATAGATGGGGCGACTTCTAGCCTCTCCCTTGGAGAGATGATAATTGTTGGTTAGATAAGGGATGCGTTGGTGTTTGCTTTTGGTTGCTCAATTCATGGCGTTGTTGATCCATCTTTGATGGAACTTCTTGCTGCTCGGGAGGCTCTACAAGTTATCGTTGGTTGCCGTGGCAGAATCGCGAAATCGTTATCACTTGCGATGCACAAGTGGTGTTGTGTCAATTGGAGACTCGTTCGATTGATGATGCTCATGCTAGTGTCTTTTACGCGAGGCTTGGTCTTTCTTAGATCAATTACCATGGGTTCATTGTGTGTACACTCCTTGATATGCGAATCGGGTAACCAATCTAATGGCACGTCATGTTCTATGTATTTTTGTCTTCATAGTGTCCTTTATAATTTTTCTTTTCTTGTTTGTTAAATTGGTGTTTGGTCAGCGTTGATAGTGAATCAATTGTGGTACCCACACTCTTATCTAATCATGATTATGACAAGAAAAAAAAACCTCAATTGGGCCTGCCTAAGCCCAAATATGATGAGAAAGCCGAGCCCGAATCCATTTCTATCCGATAGCCCGCATAAGGAGTTCCGTCGTTGCAGTTCTTCCCCCGTTCCCGCTCACATTGAACAGCAGCGGCAGTTCCTTGCCCTCGTTCTCCAGGTGTAGATTGGGAATCGCAGAGTTTCAAAATCCGAGAATCTGCTGAAATGGAAGATGGGAACGGAAGTGATTTAGAGAGAGAAGAGGAAGATTCCGTGGGGGAGTTGCTGCGGGACCGTTTCCGCCTCTCTGCCATCTCCATAGTCGAAGCCCAAGGTTCATTCCCTATCCCTAATTTCCCTCTTCGCTGTTACTGTTTGGTTATCGAGAAATTGGGGGGGAAAAGGGAAAAATCGCTGGGTCATTAGAAGGCCTTCTTATGAAGCGCTTGAAGCAGTGATTTGCACTAAGTTTGAGAGTTGAATGTTGAAGATGGTGACACTGCTTTGAGCTTTCTCATCTTGAGCAGCGAAGAAAAGCGAGATAGAGATATCTGAACCAATCACAGCTTATATCTCAGACTTGGCCTTCAAATTCACAGGTACTTTCTTCTTGTTTCTTCTTCTTCTTCTTTGTAATTACTGCCAAACCTCTGTCTGCAATTCTCATATTGATTAAAACGGATTGCTTCATTCAGTCATGGTTTAGAATTGGTCTAATTAAGTAGAAACTGGACAGAGTTGGTCTAATAATATTGATTGAAGACCTTCCTCCTAACATTTTCACCTGTCAAGAACCATTTTCACCTGTCAAGAACCAATTGATTCTAATAACTTGAGTTGTTGGGAGAAGTTCAATCGTGGATCATATACCACAACACTAACACGCCCCCTCAAACGAAAACCACTCACAAGGGCTTGAAGTTTGCACAGGTCTGATTGGTCTAATAATATTGATTGAAGACTTTCCTCCTAACATTTCCAGCTGTCAAGAACCAGTTGATCCCAATAACTCGAGTTGTTGGGAGATGTTCAATCGTGAATCATATACCACAACACTAACACGCCCCCTCAAAGGAAAGCCACTCACAAGGACTTGAAGTTTGCACAGGTTTGAAGACAAGAATACCATGTGCTTAGCAAATGGGGTCATCGGGAATCTAACACAAGGTGCTTAACAAAAAGCTCTGATACCATGTCAAGAACCAGTTGATCCCAATAACTCGAGTTGTTGGAAGAGGTTCAATCGTGGATCATATACCACAGCACTAACATCAGCTACCTTGTGTATGTGAGTGAACCCTTGTGCATGTGCATCAGAATTGGTTAGGCCGTATCATTTTCTGTTTCCGTTATCTCTTTTTATAGGTAAAAATAGAGAGTAAAACATGTTTTAGTTCTCATTTCATATATTGTTGTGGGAATTAGAGTTGGCAACACAATAGAAATTAGATGAACTCAGTGAAAGCTTTCTCGCTCTTTCTAAAAGCTGTTTCTTGTGAGAACCTTCAAGTTGTTGGAATGATTTTATTAAAGAGAATTTATGATCAAATTTTATCAGACCCACTTTCTACATATTTTCCCTCCATTTTATAAAATTCATTCTCGAAACCTTATTGCCTATTATTCCATATATTTTGTCATAACTCGTTGTGTTACATTGTTTTTTTTTATTTCATTTTTCCAAATTTTGTCTTAGTCTCAACATTAATACTAAATAGGGCCAAAAGAAGTAAATCTAAACGTGTTTTTATTTCAGGTTGTCAACTTCTATGATTTTGAAAATTAACAACTGAATGTATTTCTATTTTCTATTTTCATGTTGTTGTGGTGGTAAATCTGTTGTCACAACTCTACTGCAACTACAAGCGCAATAAAACTATGCGAATTAGGAGTAGCTTGCTTGCTCTAGTGTGATGTGGTCGTTTAGACCAACAACTCCTAAACAGAATTGTTATTAAGTTGGAGTGAACACCACAGCCTTGTTGTCTTTGGAAGCAGAACAACTTGGCAAGGACGTAGAGCTGTTTGCGCAGCACGGTGGTCGCAAATGTGTGAACATGGAGGATGTCATTCTGTCCAGTAAGTCTTGTGTTTCGAGCTTTCTTCGGCTTGTGTTTCCGTGGTTTCGGGCCCTTTTGATGTATTTAGTTTAGGTCTACTTTTGATTCCACTTTTGTTGCAGCTCATAGGAACGAGTATTTAACTTCATTGTTGAGACCCTTAAGCAACGAATTGAGGGCAAAAGAGCCACAATCTGAAAGGAAGCGAAAGAAGACATCATCGTCTAAAAGGGAAGACGCCAACAACACCAGCAACAAGGACAACAATGTTCCGCAATTGTCCCCTGACCAATGACCACTAATATAAGATAAGAAACATATATCTACAAAATCCTAACAAATGGAAGATTTAGAGTTGTTCATTAGTATGGCTCAGATTTAATAAGAGACAAAGAGGAGCATTCTGATAATTTTGGTACCCTTTTATATTATCTTTGGCTGACACGGATTATTGAGGAAAGAGTACACCTTTGACCAGTCAATTTTATTTTTAATATTATATTTTTATTATCATTTTCATATCATTTAAAGTTTAATTTTTTAAAACACGTATTGGCTGTAGTCTTATATCATATCATCATGATGAGATGATGATATGATGACATACCCAGTAGTAGAGTTATGATTTGAATCTAGGTATGCCTTTTTCAGGAGTCATAGTTGGGGGAGTACTTCTAAACTCGTGCCCTGTTGTGTCATCTAATTTGGCGTCCTTCGCAGTTCTGCGCTCCGCAAACGAGTTTGATTTTTTACCCAAGCTTTGCTCCAGATGGGGAGTGTAAAACTAGCATTGCGCAAATTTTTAAAAACTCACCATAACCCTCTCGTCGGTGAACTAGCTTTCCTGTCCTCTGCAATGTCCAACTGTCCAAGCGACCTTTTTATCTCTTTCCTCGATCGAATTTGAATACAAAAAAAAAAACATTAGAAACATACATCTGTAGTTAGGAAATTTTTTAGATAAGAAGGTAAAAAGCTTACCTTAGAACCTAGTCTTCGTCATCTTCGAAACCATCAGAAATCCAAGTCAGGGACACTTTTCTTTTCCTATGCACTTGTCGACAACTAGAAACTCAAAATCGAAAATGAAAAAAAAGAAGAATAAGATCCAAAACTGAAAATGAGAAAAATAAATTAAAAAATAAGCATGCACTCTTAGTTTCGAACCCTTACTAACCTCTGACGTCCATCGACGACGTCGTCATCAATGTCAATCTTGTCGTCGCTGTCACCTTTCATTTCCTCCTTTGATCACCTATGATCGAGCTTGAATTTTTATTATGATGCTCACTCACTTCTATCCTAACGATGCTAAGTATAACAAAGCTAGAGATGTAGTAAAACGACTCGGTCATATTCCACAAAGTCTTGGATCTACTGCTACATCAGGACTAGTTTACTATCTAACCTAAACGATAACTGGGTGTGTACTAAACTAGTGGAGCGACTACCAAGAGTTTTAATTCAAGTATAAGAGATGTACTCGGGGGCTAGTTTCTCCCTAACCTTAGATATACTGAGAGTTGAATACGAATGAGATGTTCTTTCCCTATATGATGTTGGATTCCTCTTATATCTCTACTAGGGAAATGGTACGTCATGTCGCCAAGAGCACTTCTAGTAGGGTTCTAGACTCAATGCTCATGCAACTGAAAAATTGCTAGGGCGGTAAGACTATTCCTACGAGGGTAAACCCAAGGACAAACACAACTTTAACTCAATGTCATGCAATTCAAATCGTGTCTCAATTAATGTGTTCTTGGCTTGACCTAAGGGGATGGTCACCTGAACCTCAACCTAGACCCAGAACTAACACTATCCACCTACACTAAAGCAAAATAATGGAATCATAAAATATCAATTTACCATAGGGAGAGAATTCATATATTCATAATCAAAACCCTAACATCCATCTAAAGGTTCGGGGTTCTTACCCCAAGAACAAAGGGGATTACCCTGTACAAGAGGACGAGAAAACAAGAAGAAAGAGGAGTGAACCATTGGCTTCATAAACACTAGCTAGAGGCTAGCCTTCAATCATCAAGATGACTCCCTTTCTTCTTCTTCTCTTCCCCTCTTCAAAGGAACCCTAGGATCCTCTCTCTAACCCACATATCTTTCTCTCTCTTGAAGAGTCAAAGCCACATAAAATCCCTAGGCTATCTTGTTCCTTCAACAACTCATCTATTTATGGACTTTAGAAATCTCGGGCAAAATCATGGTTGAGGAGCAGAAGATCGCAGCTATGATATGGAAGAGATGCACGCGATCCTTTGACGTAGTCATTTTGATATGGGAAGGGCAAGAGATCGGGCCATGTTGTACACGACTGCGAACAATATCTCGTGGCCATGAACTTTCTCGCCGCTTTGGCTAAAGGGGGCTGCGATCCAACTGTCGAGACCTTCTATTCTCTTTTTGTTGCCTCCTGTTGAAGTTCATGGCTGATGGCCCTGAGGTCGTGGTCGCGGTCTCCCTCATTCCAAATCACACGACATTGTCCTAGATGATGACCATGAACTTGGTGTAGTTGTCCATCTCTCGTGGCAATCTCAAGCATTCTTTTCGAGAGATGTTGCCAAAGAGTGAACCTTGTTGGGGTGAAGAAATCAAATGCATTATTCTCCATCGTGGTTAGGCATGACCTAAAATATTCTTCACTTAGATGAAATTTCGTTTTCCATTGTGCAGTTTTCTTGATTTTTCTTCCTCCATCCAATGTCGTGTGATTTATTGATGAGGCTTTCATGTTCCCTGAATCAACATTCTTGATTACTAACATTGAGAACATATGGACAGACTCCATACATTGATCTAATTTCTTCGATTTGAGTGCTAGGTTGGTTGGGGGAGTACTAATATCCTGAGGCATATTTATGATGAGCTTCCTATTTCTTGACTAGAGCATAACTCTTTGATTAGCTAGCTCAGTCGTGGTTCATTTCGTTGCTAGGAAAAGTCTCCCTAATATAATTGGTGTATTTTCTTCTCTCTTTGTATCCGATAGGATGAAATCCACCCGGTAGATACATTTTCCCACCTTCAATCGAATGTCTTCAATGGATCCCTTAGAGTGGACTATTGTTCCATCGGCCATTTGGATAGCTACTTTTTTGTCTTCAATCCCTCCAGAGACAACCTCTTAAACATGTTGTATGTCATCATATTCGTGCTAACCCCATGGTCAGCCACGACTCTATCGGTTGATATTTCTCCCATCTTGCAAGGGATAAAGAAAATACCCAGATCTTCGCATTTTGATGGTGCCTTGTGACGAGGTAAGTGTTGCCTTGCCTCATCTGATCCTTCTATGAGCTGATCTTCAACCTTTGATGTGGTTGAGATAGAGTAGACTACTTTTTGTTCCTTGAGTGCTGGTTTGACAAACTTTAAAGTTGAAAATGTATAGTTGCTCTTCGTACCCTGATCGATTCCCATTTGTTCAAAATTTTCCCACAATCTTCCTCTAGGGTTGATTGGAGTAACTTATGATGATTTAGCTAGCATAAATTTGTCCTCCAAATCCCCACATGAACTAGTTTTCTGAGTTTTTGTAGGGACGAGACCTCTTCTCGAGACTACCTCCTCTTTTCGCTTAGACAACATTTGAGTAACGAACACCAAAGAAGTTGACATGTTCTCCATAACGGTTGAAATTCTCTTTTGCTCAGCTTCTCGAGATTCCATATGATGACTTGTTCGCCTAACAAATACATCCAAGCTATCAAACTTCTTCTAGCTTACAACTATCCATTGCATCATTGTTTCCATAAGTGTGCCTATTCAACTTTCGAGTTCTTGATCACGAATTTTTTGAGTAATCACCCATCGCTCGACCAACTTCTCTTTCCATATCTACACACACTTAGTAACACCTGTGAATGCAACACAGAAAATATATGTATAGAAACATAAAATGATATTCTGAAAAGTAAAAATGGGTAAAGTAGTAACGTCATCCTTTTTCACAATAACCCAAAGGTCCCCGGCAACGGCGTCAAAAACTTGATTGCATGTGATCAAGCTTTAATTTCTATTACGATGTTCACGCACTTCGATCCTAACAATGCCAAGTATAACAAAGCTAGGGATATAGTAAAGTGGTTCGGTCGTATTTCACAAGGTCTTAGATCTATCTACTGTTACTTCAGGAATAGTTTACTATCCAACCTAAATGATAATTGGGTGTGTACTTGATGACTCGATATTTGCACATGTTTTCCCCTTTGTTTCTTGATCGTTTAAGCTCGCATTATCGCTTCTTTGGCCTATGTTATGCTAGGTTGTGTTCTTTTGTCACATTTCAGGTCCTAGCACATAAAGTGAAGCATAGGCACAAGTTTCAAGTCAATCGGAGATCAATTGGCGACTCGGGGGAAGAAACTCGGGCTTGACTTGAAGAAGAATGGATTTATACCTCATTTTGTGACCATATAATCATGTAAGCTTGTCATGAGAAAAAAGAGGACGAGACTACGAGCGTCTGGGATCAAATGATTAGAGTCGAACGAGGGAGCAACGAAGAATCAAAGACAGGGGACCCGAAACTGTGAAATACCCGGTATTTTGAGCATATGATAGGGCATTTTTGGTAGAATCAGAAGTCCCCCCGGTCGTGAACCAAAAATACCCGACTGGGTATTTTCCCTTTTGCCCAGAAAAGTGATCCGGTGCATTTTGTTGATACCAGACCGGTTCCCTAAATACCCGACCGGGTATTTGGATCGGTTTTCGCGAACGCAGGTTGTTAAAAGCCTGTTTTGTGCTTTTTTGGAGGGGGAGAGCTGGGTTTTGGAACCAAAACACCCAAGGGACGAACCAAAGAGAGAGAGGACGATTTGAGGGCAATCTTGGAGTGGAATTGGAGGATTTTTTCGCCTTGGAAGCTCGAGGAACAAGCCCGGACTTGAAGACTGATCATCTGAAGATTCTTACTGCAGTCTCTCTCTTCTCTATGGAGTAACTTCCCTTCACTTAGGTTTTGAGGAACCCTAGCTATGTTTGTTTGATTGGATGATTGTATGAGTAATCCTACTTGATAATCTTGAGTTCATATTCAATCTATGCATGTTTTCATGATTCAATTATGCTTTAGTCTAGATTATTGATTATGCTTTGATCCTATGAGAGCGAATACCTGATTAGGTCAATAGAGCACCATAGATTGATAGTATTGGATTAATTGCTTTAGTTGAGGGTTGATTCACTACTTTGTATCAATTGAGAACCTCATTCGATAGAGGGAATCTAGTTCAGAACGCCTTGGTCGATTGTTCTAGAGAAGGATACGTCCCTCTAGGCAATTGACTCAAGAGGGCCTTGTTCCTTTAGTCGAGACTCAAGGTCTAGTTAAGGATTCTCCGCATTGTGAATGAAAGTGAAACAGGTTAGAGATCCTCAATCATTAATCTGGCTAGTGGCTAGGGGGAATCATACCTAAGTGAGTTCCCAACCTGTAATTAGATTAACTTTAACTGTATTTTGCTAGAATAGTTTTAGTTCTTTCATCTTAATTTGGTTTGCTAGATAATGAACTGAAGCTGAGTAATAGTAACTCTAGAGACCCGTGGATTCGATATTTATCACTTGAGCCACTATACTATAGTCCCTTTCATTGGTTACACTTGGCCTTTGTTAGCAGTTGTGTTTTAGCGAGTCAGTACTAAACTAGTGGAGCGACCACTAGGAATTTTGGTTCGAGTATAGGAGAGGTACTCGAGGCTAGTTTCCCCCTAACCTTAGATAGACTCATGTTTGAATACGAATGAGATGTTCTTTCCCTATATGATGTTAGATTCATCTTATATAGCTACTAGGTCAAGCTCAATGGTCATGCAACCGAACAATCACTATGGAGGTAACAGTAAATTTCTATGAGGGTAAACCCAAGGACAAACACAACTTCAACTCAATGGTCGTGCAGTTCAAATCGTGTATCAATTGATATGTGTTCTTGGCTTGAACTAAGGGGATGGTCACCTCAACCTAGGCCATGAACTAGCACTATCCATCTCTATTGAAGCAAAATAATGGAATAATCAAATATCAATTGACCATAAATAGTTTGGAGAGAATTTATATATTCATAATAAAAACCCTAATATCCATCTAAAGGTTAGAAGTTCTTATCCCAAGCACAAAGGGGATTACTCCATATAAGAGGAAGATAAAACAACAAAAAAAAAAAAAAAAGAGGAGGGAACCATTGGCTTCAAAAATAGTAGCTGGAGGCTAGCCTTTAATATTCAAGATGACTCCCCTTCTTCTTCTCTTCAAGGGAACCCTAGGTTCTTCTCTTTAACCCACAAATCTTTCTCTCTCTTCAAGAGTCAAAACCACCAAACCCCTAGGCTCACTTCTTCCTTTAGTAGCTCCTCTATTTATAGATTTTGGAAATCTCGTGCAAGTTCACGGTTGTGGAGCAGAAGATTGTGGTCGTGATATGAAAGAGATGCACACGATCCTTGTACGCAATCGTTTTGATATGAAAAGGGCAAGATATTGCACCCTAATGTTCGCGGCCGTGAACTTTCTTACGGCTTTGGCTAAAGGGGGCTACGATCCAACTATCAATACCTTCTATTCTCTTTTGTTTGCCTCCTGCTGCAGTTCACGGTTGATGACCCTGAGATTGCAGTCACGATCTCCCTCATCCCAACCTCGATCTTGTGCTCAACTATTCGGTTTCTGTTTCTTGGTCATGACCATGCTCCTTTGGCTGTGAACTCGGTGTTTTCATATATTCCTACACATTAGCCTCATTTTCTTCCTTTTTCTTCTTGTAATGTCAAATTTGACCTATAATGACATGATATGACAAAAATGAAGCATTCTAAGTTACAAAAGACACCATATAGATCTAATCATGCTCAAAATGATATTAATATACCTAATAAATGAAGGTTAATAACACCATTTTGGGCGTTATCATCATTTCTTCTCTTCGATACCAAAAAGAAAGAGAGAGGGCAGACTGAGAAAGAGGAGGTAAGTTTAGCTTTTTGGATATGGGTTTCTACACGAGAAGCAAAAAATCAAAAGGGGAGGGGAAGTAATATTAGGGGTTTTTTGTTATGAAGAAAATGAAAGGTGAAGAATCACCTTTTATTTTTGCTAATGGTTTCAGAGAGATGACAAGAGGGAATGAGATTGAAGGAGAAGTAAAAATGAAGAGGTAAACAATCGAAGGGGTATTAGACTTCTTCAGTATATTTGGCCTTGAAACCCTAAGAAAATTAGGGATAAAAGATGATTTTTGCATTGATGGCATTAAAAATCTCGGGAGACGAGGGGAGAGTGAAGTGCAAATTAAAATATTGAAGATTGGGATTACTCGATGGTTGTGTATTAACTACAGGGAGACAACATGGCGAGATGGGATGATACATGATAACCTATATACCCATATCTTCCTTGTTCAGCTCGTGGGTCATGTCAAGACCCACTCTTGGATGCTCCTATCCTCTAGTCGAGACTACTTTGACTTCCTCCTTGTTTAGATTATTCTATGTATAGACGGGAAGATTTCCTTTAGGCTTTTGAGGTTTAGCATCAATTAGGAGTGCAAGTTGACGTTCAATATTCTGGTAGTTTGCTTGCAAACCAATGACCATTTCCTAAAGTTTCCAAAATCTAGTATGTTGCTGATTGGAAGAACCTTCTCCTTGTGTCTTATATTGAGGTTTATTTCCTAATCCAGGTGGATTTATCTTTTTATTCCATTGTGCTTCATGAACATAAAGGGCATTAGTAGAGGTGATTGAGGTGATCTTTGGGCTTCTTTCCTCCTAGGGCTTGACATTGACTATGAGGTTGGTTGAATCTCTGGTAAGGAGCATAGACTCCTTGTTGTGGCCTCTGTTGGTATCCTTGGTTAATGTAATTGACATCAGCATGTCCTTGCCCTCCATGGCTCGAACAACTGAATCCTTCATGGCCTTCTTCTCCACAAGCTTCACACACAAACAAGGTTGCCATTATTAGGTTTCATGAGGCTTTCTTTAGTTGATGAGAGAGTGATTCATCATCTCACACAAGATGGCAACTACTTTCTCACTTTTTGGACAACTTTTAATGGTTTAATTAATGGTCGCTTGAACTAGTTCTTTGATTCCTTGCTAGTGTGGCAAAATGTCATCCGACTCCCAACATTGTAGTGAAATCACCATCAAAAGATTGATTTACCATCATTGTCATATCCGGATCCAAACCTTAGGCTAAATACATAACAACTTGCTCTTGTGTGAATCCATGATGGGGGCAATGCTTTGAGATGCTATTGGAATCTCCTCCAAGTTTCAAAGAAGGTTTCTCCTTCCCTCTACAGGAATTGTGTGATTTCATCTTTCAGCTCCTTTATCTTCCATTGTGAAAAGATTTCTTCAATTAATGCTTTTAATAGGGTCTCCCACATGGTGAAGGTGCCTGGTGGATGATAATCTAACCATTGCTTTGCCTTTCCTATGAGCAAGATAGGAAAAGTGGTAGTTGGATTGCATCTCTAGTAGCCGCATCTCCTAGAATGGAATTGACAATCTCCAAAAATAATTTCAGATGTTGCACACAATCATCATCATTCATTCCTACAAATCTCCCCAATTTTCCACCGTTAATATAATTTGAGTACGAATCTCGTTGATTGTTGGTGGTGCAACAATGCTTGATGTGATATTCGAGGCTTTGTGTCTCGAATACTCATTCAGAGTAGGTGGGACAACTACTCTTTGGTCTCCTGCCATCGTTGATAATGTAGAAGAGGATATGGAAGATGTTTCTTATCCTAGATCAAAGCTACAGCCTTCGTCGATGTTCTCTTTCCAACTCGAGTTTAACTCTTGATGGATAGGCTCAAAATCTCCTCCTCTTCTAAGCTAGATGCTCCTTATTCTTTGATGATATGCTCCATGATCTTTTGATTTTCAACTTCTTTTATAGTAAGGAATAAACTCATACTACAACTTTCAAAATAATTATAACTAAAACTAAAAAGGGACATAAGATGATTTGATATAAGATTAGAATCCCCGACAATGACGCTAAAATCCTGAGAACTCTAATATAGTTCAATGCAAGTAATAATATAAGCATCATTGCCGTAAATGAATAATCATCAAGGACATAAAACATTAGATCACATAAGAATCGATGACATACACATAAGCATCGAATGAACAACCATCAATAGCATAACATAGGCATCGAAATACACAAGCATCCAATGACTAGCATCATATGAAATCATAGAATGAAATATAATATCATAACGAGTTCACATCCCTAAAAAATGAATTCAAACTAGCTATAAATAGAAGAGAAAGATGGTACCACCATTGATGATGATGACATCTCCTTGGCTGCTCCCTCTTATGGATGCTAAGCTCTCACTCGAACAGAATGTTTATAGAAGTATAAAGTGAATTCTCGTAGTGTACAAAAAACTAAAGCCTAGCTCTCTATTTATAGAGATTTTTCTTGGCTTCTTCCTACTCCAAGTTGGCTAAGGTGTCCTTACTCCATCAGAACATTGAGTCTTTGACTTGGGGACGAAGTAAGGACTTTTGGGAGCTTCTTTGGGCTTGAATTCTCAGCGGCAGCACCCACCTGCATCCTTTTTCTTCTTGGAATGCGTTTTTTGTCGGCCAAGCAACTTCCCCTGTGAATTTGTGCGTGACTTGATCAGGCAGGGTCGACAACGGCTGGACCCATCTTGAGGCCAACATCAATTCCTTCTTCAGATTGAGCTGATTTTCTCTTGGGCTCCAGTTAAGACTTCTAGTAGGCTTCCGTCAATTGAACTTTGTCTAACAAGTGAAAAACTATTTAATCTTCTCAAATATGCTTCATTAGTCCTTCATAGTTATCCAAGCATCGAAGCAAATCATCATTGATTGTATTTTACCTTGAAAGCACAAAAACATGACAAAATGCATAAAAAGATATAAAACACAACCTAGGTCTAATAATAATTCATTAATCAAATATTTATGAATTAAGCATAAAATATAGAGAATACTAAAGATGCATTGATAGAATCGAAAAATGTATCAAACATAAGAGTAATGATCACTATAATTTGTGTGTTATCACAACATCAATGGGTACGTCACTCCACACAAATCTGGATTCATGAAGCACATTAAAGTCATTATTGAAGAAAGGAAGTTCATGCACTTACCAAGAGTCATTTTATGAACCAAGACGATTGTGCGAAGCTCCAAAATTATTACTTATGTATCTATATTCTATACTAATAGGAGTTAATTTTCTATCTTCTTTTCCTAGTCACCTGAGCAGTATAAATAGCACCCTCATTTAGAACTAAATTTCATATAGAATTATCAATCAAAGTATCAAAATGGAGTTTTTTTCAACTCTTTTGTGCACTCTAACT